GCATGTTCTCTTTGATGTGAAGACACTAGCTGTAAATCCTCAGTGTGCTTAACTTGAAGTGCCTGCAGAGGCTGGGACAATAGACAGAATATGAGTTTTAAGCACAGAAACCTAAAAAAACAAGCATAACTAATCTTTAATTTTTGAATTAGCCAGGAAACATTCTGATAGGGGTTTTATTTAACAGTAAGTTGGGAAAACTGTAACATAGCCTAGCATGAAATGGAACCACAGAGTATATTTGGAGAGCACTCTTAACACTACAACATACGAGTTCACTTTAACATCTGAGACATTATAAGGTTTTCAAAAATGAAAGAGAAAGAAGGAAAGAAAGAAAGAAAGAAAGAAAGAAAGAAAGAAAGAAAGAAAGAAAGAAAATCAAAACCAAAAAAACATACACACCTTTTAAAGGAGTAAGATAAAAAGGAAAACTGACACTTATTAAACTTTGGTTATTATGTGCCATATAATATGCTGGAAACTTGATGTGTATGGTGTTTTGATGAGACTGACATTCATTGGCTTACACGTTTGACTGCTTAGTCTCCAATTTGAGGAACTGTTTGGGAAGGATTAGGAAGTATGGCCTTGTTGGAGGAGGTGTGTCACTGGGGATGGCCTTTGAGGTTTCAAATGCCCACATCATTCCATGGTTCCCAGTTTTAGCACTCCTGCACCCCTTGGCTTCTTGCTTCTCAATCAGATGTGAGCTTTCAGCTACTGCTCCAGTGCCATGCCTGCCTGTCTATTGCTATGCTCCCTGCCGTGGTGATCATAGACTCTGCTAATCTCTGGAACCTTAAGCCCCAGATTAAATGTTTGCATTTAAATATTGTCTTGGTCATGATGTCTTATCATAATAAAAATAACCAGCTGGTCATTTACCAGGTGTAGACTTCAGTTGCTGGGCTTGCAAATGAATTGCTAGTCTCATGTTGTGCAGATCCATGAGGAGCTTGGACCAAAGGAAATCTCCACTTTCTATAGTACATTAACTTAGTCTCCTGCACATAGCTACCTGCTGCTGCTGTACTTCTCTACCTTAGAAAGATTTAGGGTGGATTCACCAGGTAGTTACATCTTAATTTAATAACGAACATTATTGTAGAGTGTGTGTGTGTGTAGATATCTATTAGGTTTGTGTCTTTAACCTGATGTGTGTGTGTTTGCAGGGGTAGGGTTAGGAAGGTGGACCATGCAGGGACTGCCTGCACTGACAGGGAAGAGCAGCGGTTACTAGGGCTGCTCTGGCTTCAATCCCAGGAACCACTAGTAGTAGAGAGGCACCACCAAAGTAGCCAGAATACAGGTGCCTCGTGAGAAACATGACCGGCTTCCATCATGCCCTGGCACTGTGTTTTGAACGAAATTATCATATTAAATAATTTATATATAATAATAAAACAGTCACCAAGACAATGTGCATTATTACTTTGGTTTTATAAGTTAAGGTGTTTAAAAATACTCCGTTCACAAGAATATACAATTAACAATACGCCCTGGAACCTAGTGCTCTATTTCTACTGCTATATTTCTCTGGCCCTAAGCCAGCTGTATTGTTACTTTTCTCATTGCGGTGACAAAACACCCAACAAGAATCAACTTAAAGAATGAGGGGGTTATTTTAGCTCATGGTTTGGGAGGACACAGTTCCTTATGTAAGTGAAGGTATCATGGAGTTCTCTGTGACAAGAACACGGGGCTGCTACTCATCAATTTACCACAACCCAGGAAGCACAGATAACACAGGAAGTGGAGTAACACCATACATTTTCAAGAACCATGTCCAGTGATGTACTTCCTGTACTCCTTCCCCTTGGACTCTGCCCCCCCCCGCCCCAAGATTCTACAACCTTCAAATCAAAGCCACCAGCTAGGGGGTAAAATATTCAACCATATGTACCCAAGAAGAACATTTCACATTTAAATCATAACAGAAGATAAAAAAAACCAAATATGTGCAAACAAATATGCATATACATAACGTAAGGGGGTAAATCATTCCATAATGCACTGTGCAGCATAGCGAAAACACGGAAAATAAGGGAAACCAGCAGAGAAATCTGGTTTTGATAAAAAATTCAACTCGATTTCATTATATTTACATTACGTTCCAAATTATTATCTATGAGGAAAACCATCCAGAAAATTAATAGAGACATATATGATAAACATAAAAATTAGATATTTGACAGAATAAAATAAATATTGCTTAGTAATTACATCAGGCATGTATGTCTTCAGTCTCATGGTAAGCTATTAAAAGTAGAACAACTGTTCAAAACATACTGCCAAATTCTTTCAAAATGACTTGTTTTGAAACGTTGACTAAATATCTCAGAACTGTATATCATCTTTAGTATAATTAAACATTGTTCAAACCAAAGACATGGCTTTTCTTTGTATTCTGAGACATAAATTAAACATGACATTTTCTTTTATACTAGGGCACAGAGAATTATCCGTTGTTAGCTATTAAAATGATAATTTAAAATCCCTACCACTTATAGATGATTTTGTACCTCAGTCATTGCTTTTATTTAATTAAAAATATAGCCTACCAGGAAGAACTTAGTCTCCTATGTTATTTTATAAGTCGTCATTAAGTATTTACTTGACATCTGTGCCTTAACAATTAACATGTATAGTTAAAAAATTTAACTTCTCAGCCCTTTAATATCTCCAGGTTTTAATGTGCACTCAAATATAAATACAATAAGAATTTTTATCATTTATAATTTTTATCTTTTTATCATTTATCTAAACTCTATAATGTGGAAGTTTCCTAAAACCACACCATATTCTTCATCATTGCATACTTTCCACTTCTGATACAACTCCCATTTTCAGTCAAAATGTCTTTTATGTCTCCAAGACAATTGAATTTAAAAAGAATAAAAATGCTAAATGCCCTTTCCTTAGTGATATTCCATAAATGTTTTGCTTATTGCAGATACTTAATAAAATTCTTTTAATTAAAAGAATGTGGGTCTTCATTTGTGCGGGCACACGTATATGCATAGATATTTTTGCAATATGAATCTGTGGGTGGGGGGGCACATAGAGAAATTTTAATTCAGAACATGGCTGCTCTGGCAAGAGATCACATCCAAAAACCTCTAGGTCTGTGTGGTACAGCTAGAATACAGCCATACCTTTACTCTAAGGAGACATAGGCAAAGCAGATCTCTGAGTTCAAGGAAAGCCCAGTATAAAGCAATTTTCAGATAGGAAAAGCTTAGGTCATTGAATGGTGGTACACACCTTTAATACCAGCACTCAGGAGACAGAGCCATGTAGATCTCTGAGTTCTGGTCAGTTCTCTTCAGTCAGTTTGGGTGAGTCAATGAGTTGAAAGGCAGTGAATGGAGCTGGGTTCATGACAGCTCAGTTTGTGGAATTCGGAGGCAGTTTTACTGGGAGAGTTTTACAGAGACAGGTTGAAGAGAAAACAATCTAGACACAATTGAAGACAGAATGAGGCAGAAAATGAGAAAGATCCAGAATATTAGAACAGATTGCTAGAGTTAGTTTGAGGGCAAGCAGAGAAATTCAATCAGAAGTGAGAGAAGCCAGTTTGAATCAGTCAGCCAGGAGAAGAGATTGAGTCAGAAAAGCTGAGTTGAACCAGCTAGTCAGAGTTCAGAAAGAGCTAGAAGGGTGAGCTTATTCAGCAGTAAGTCTCAGAGGCTGAAAACATTGTAGACCTAGAGTAGACTGTATGGAGGCTAGAAGCTTCCAGGATTAGACCTAGGTTAGCAGATGAAAGTTGTAAGCCTCATAAACAATTACATCAGATGAAAAGAAATTACATTTACAGGCCCAAGATTAACATTTTTTCAGTCACTCTCCAACTTATTTATTGAGGCTTCTTACTCAAATCCAGAGTTCATGGATTCAGCTAATTTATAAATCCAGCTTGTTCCAGGAATTCTTCTGTTGTTATGTCACATACACTGGAATAGGATTATAAAGGTGAGCCATGGTGTCCAGTTGGCTTTTACATGGGTGCTGAGGATCCAAACTCTGGTGTAATGGTTGCACAGCAAGTATTTTATCCATTGACCCATCACCATAGCCCTTCATAGAATTCTTTACAATGACTGCTCCATGAAAAATAAGTTTTTGTATAGTTTTGATGAATGTCAAAAGCAATGTCCTTTCCTTTTACTTGGTACTTCTAAATCTTTTAAAACACAATTATGCATTTTAAGCCTTCAAAAGCAGATATAGTGTAATGCTGACGAAAATCCTTGAGCAAGGAACAAAACTGCAGATCGTCTATAGTAACACCAAGAGCAGATATTCCTAGAGCTGGCTAAGATTTTTCTTTTTGTGCTTTTTCCCATTTTCTTTCTCTTTAGGACATGTGGATTTGTCTTTTTGATTTTCATTTTGTCGTCTGCTTTTTTTTTCTCATTTCTTTTTTTTTTTTCACATTTTTTTGAAATGAGGTAATCATGTCCCATCATCCCAGTAGGCACTACTTTCCCCTTCCTTTTGAGATCAACTCAGTCTCCTCTTCTGCCTCATGACTTCATTTAGAGGAGTTCCATTGATCTTGTGATATTATGTATCCTTTGTTATAAATATAAATCTCCAGCTTTAGGACAATTTTGTATATTTTGTACCATCATAATATGGTATACATAGTTATTCAGTTGTTCTCTGTCTAACTCACACTGATTTCCACACACTCTAACTGTAAGCTATGTGGAGTCTTCCTAGTGTTCATATCTTTTCCCAGAGTATGACCTAGAGGTATTTTCATCTACTTTATTTAAAAATCAATCAAAGTTTATATTGAAAGTGATTGGCTTACATAATGATAACCTGCACACTTAAATAATTAACATGCAATGTCATTCTGTACATACTGCCATTGCGAATTTGATATCAATTGTAATTAGTTTTCTCCCAGAATGTGCTAAACTAACAGAAAATTGTATTTTGGGTCTAGATCCAGGGTATTACCTCTTTTTCTTTCAATTGTACAGGTTCTGCTGACCTTCTTTGTGTCCCATGCTCTTCTTGTCCTACCCTGGTCTACTCTGGTATGTTTGCTCAGGGCATTTAATATCAACATGGGTAATTGCGGGCATTCTCTGCAACTGTTCATAGCTCAGATTGTTTAAAATATGTATTGTTCATGACCTCATGAGAAAAAAAGTTTGTGTCAAGGTATTTTGTATTATCTTCTTTCCCTTTCCTGCCCTGCCTTTTCCCTCCTTTCTCCTCCCCTCCCTACTTCTCCCCTCTCCTCCTTTCCCCTCTCCTTCTTTCCCCCTCTCCTCCTTTCCCCCCTCTCCTCCTTTCCCCTCTCCTTCTTTCCCCCTCTCCTCCTTTCCCCTTCCCTTCCCTTCCCTTCCCTTCCCTTCCCTTCCCTTCCCTTCCCTTCCCTTCCCTTCCCTTCAACTCTCTGTGTGCTCTGTCTGTGGACAAATAACTTATAGAATCTAGTTTTAGAATCTAGATAGACACAAGCTGAAAACATACTTCTCAACTGTGCTAGAGTCTATAATGCCATTGATTTATCTGCTGGAGTTTCAGAATAACAAATACTGCATTCTTGAGGCTATCTATTGTACATCAGATTTTTTAAAAAATATAACAAAATTCAGAAATATCTTCACATGTCTCAGAGAAAAGGAAATAGGTTGTTTTTTCTTGGTATTCACTGAGTCAAAATATATCAAAACTAGAAATAACTTTGGAATATTCTACCTCTCTCCTCACCCATGGATGACCTCTTCTCTTAATATTTAGAGTCACTATGGATCCTTTTCTAGGGAAATCCTCCATGGTTGGAGTCGCCCATGATTGCTCAGTTGGTTTTGTTTCTGCCCTAGTTACTCACTGACCTGCGGATTCCATATTAGGGAATCACTTGAAGAAAATCTCTTCAACGTGTTTTTATACAGCCATCATAATAGCATGTTCATCTCCATATGTTTTAAATAAAACATGAAAATGTTATACTATAAAACACTTTATAGTAAATGTGGAAAGCATATAAAAGTAGAAACAATCCAGTTTCCAACAACAGAAGTTAATTTTAAAAGTATCCACTTTATATACTAGAGAACTTTGATTCTATTAAGAAGAATCAGATATATAAATGAAAATATTTATACATAAGCAAAAGCACACACACACACATACATATATATGCACATCCACACACGCATACATACATATGTAAACACACACAAACATTCTGCTTCTGATGTGGAAGTTTTTTCTCCAATGGTTTTATAAGAAGAGATCAAGTTACAGGATGGAATGTTAAATGTAAACTAATTTTTGTTATGTAAGATGCATCCATATACATAATAAATTCATATTTATTGGGTATAGGCAGGATGGTTGCAAACAAAAACGTCATTAATTTTATATTTTTGTAGCATGATAATCACTTTTGTTTCCCTATCATGTTTCTATAATGACTAGATATTATATAAATTACAAAACTCTTTAAAACCTTTTGTTTGAAAGTGTGGTAAAACAGATCCTGTCTTTTCTTGGTCCAAGTTCTGAGCCCTTCCAGATATCTTCTAGTTCTGACCATTTGCATTGGTCTTCTGCAGAATGAGTCTACCTCTAGATCCTTACTCTCATGGTCCTTTTGTCTTTCAAATGTTCTTTGCATGGTACATATGTATACTGCTCTTCAATCCAAGAGCTCCTAGAAACAGTCACTCTGGTGACTAATATCTAATAAATAGATTTGGAAATATACCAGAAACTAGCACATTACAATTGTGAGTTCCATGGCAGACAGTATAGTTTACTACCAAGTAATGTATAAAAATAGACAAGATGGACAATATTCTGGACAAAATACCAACTATTATGAATCATTAGGATAAGTCCATGTACCAAATAGTTTTGGTCAAGGATCTAAGAGAGTGATATTCAAGAGTGATAGGAATTCATCAAATAAAGGAGTTAGCTGGCATTGATTGGAGTAAATAATGAATTTTGGGTAAAGAAGAAATAGACAAAGAACCTGTCTTGCTGTTCTACCATCCTTCCGCTGTTTGCTCCTTCTCTCTCATTAAATAAAAAATTGTTGAGAAATTTGCTGTGTATAAAGCATTTCTCCAAGCCCCGTGAGCAGTGTGCAGAGTGACAATCTTCTTTCATAATATTTATAGCTTCATTAATGAACCAGAAATATGTAAATATATATATGATTATGACACAAAGAAGAAAAATGGAAAATAACATTCTGATTAGAATTTGATGCAGATATCAGAATTTATGCACTATTAAAAACACATGACTAACATAGGTAAGATCAATGGACACCAACCAAGACCATTGCATGGGGAAAGTTTATACAGAATAGGAGAAAGTACTGAAGTCCTAATCTCTTCTATGCTATGCAGATCTATCTATCCATGCTTTGTTGAATGCATTTTCTTTTATTTCTTTTCTCTTCTACAGGTTTGTCTGCGAAACAGGCAAAGGAAATTGCAAGTGGTCCTTAAGGAGACTATAGCTGGTCAAATCCTTACATATATATAGTCCCAATTTGATGTACTAAACCCAATCTCCAAAGAAACATTATTTTTTTAATTTCAATAATAAACAAGCACCTGTGTATAGTCTAAGAACATGAATTCAGGCACAGCACTCTATTGGTCATGTAATCTAATACCCTTTGATCTCATCAGTGTCTTGGGTTTATTTTACTTTATATGTAGTTATTAAAATCTATGTTTGATATATTAAATATTGCCTGACTCAAATACTTAAAAAATTCTAGATTTTAACTTAGCTAGGGTTTTCTATCTCTATTTTTATAATAGTATCTCATCTTTTAGATTAATAAACGTTACATGTACCACATGTACCAAGATATAGCGTTAGTCCTGTGCGGCAGTTAACTGCTCTGTATTAGACTCTGGGATGTAAACTCTTTGCAACAGAAAGAAGTTTATTGCCTACCACTGCTACGACATGATTATATTTCCCCATTTCTATTAAAATATTACTGATCTGTTGCTTCAGTAAAACAAAACACCGACTAATGAAATGCATGCCCTCATAGCACTTGCAAGGAAAATCAATTGACTATTTATGCAATCATTGAACCACATTAAGGTTATCCAGTTTAAATCTGATGTATGCTTCATTCTGGAATGTGCTATGTAGTGATTCTAAATGAATGGATCTCAGTCAGTTTATTGACTATTTCTGCTATTTTTTAATCTTATTTATCCTAATGCAGATTTTTTGGTGGACTGTAATGAATTAAGGTTAAGTTATACAACTCTTTGTAAAGCTATGAAAGAAACAATTGTTAAACACTAGAACATAGCTAAGGAATAATGAAAGAATTTCTGACTTCTGAATTAAGTCATGTCCATACATATAAATATGTAAATGATGTAATAAATTTTCTCATATTATTATTTTTCTCTTGAATGATGAAACTACTTTTAGTAAGAAGTATTTTTGTAGATAGAAATAAATTAAAAGTTCATGTATTAATTGTTGTTCACGGATGTGACTAAAATAACTGAATGCCATCAGCTTAAAGGAGAAAAACTTTATTTTGGCCCATGTTTTTGGAGGTCTCAGAGCATGATCTACTGGATCCTTTGCCACTGGCCTGTGGGGAAGCAGATTGTCACGGCAGAAGGAGTATGTGACATGAGATCACTCACTTCATGAAGGCCTAGACCTATAGAGAGTGAGAGGCAGAAACAAGATATAGTTTTCAGTAACCCACTTCCTCCAGCCAGGCTCAGCTTTCTAGATTCCACTACATTCTGATAACCCACTCAACTGTGGATTCATCAACAGCTTGGCACATTGACATAGGTCCGACAACTTAAGATGCAATTGCTTCTGTAAAACCTCACCTCTGAAAATATCATTGGGAATGCTGAAAGTCTTGGAGATTCGACTGAGTATTTAAAACATTTTTCTTGTTAGACGGTTAGACATTTTCTTCCTTTACAACATGTCACCAATGATGTGTTAGATATCTGAGAGCCACATTCTCCTCCAACAATGACTTGGTCCTCTGCTTGTCATCTGGCCTTTCCTCAAGACTATTGGCCTCCCAGTCCCAAGAATCAGATGTACCAGGATGTAAGGATAAATATTACTGAATACACCATGGAAGACAGGTCAAATCAGATACTAACCAAAAGGTAAGGACAGATTCTAATCAAGAGCCAAATGCTGCAAACAAGAGAGAGTCTAGTGTGGACTAAACCCAAGTGTGTATGGAAGTGAGTGAGTGCTTTTTTTTTCTTTCTTTCCATATTTCTTTTTTTTAATTTATTTTTTAATTGATTCACTTTACATCCTGACTGTAGCCTCCTTCCTCATATCCTCTCTCCCTCTTTCCCCTTATCCCCTTCTCCTAGTTCTCAGAAAAGGGGAGCCCTCCTCCCCTACCAACTGATCCCAGCTTATCATGTCTCATCAAGACTGCCTGCATCCTCTTCCTCTGTGGACTGGGAAGGCCGCCCCACCAGGGGTAAGTGATTGAGGAACAGGCATCAGAGTCCATGTCAGCAACAGCTCCTCATCCCCATACTAGGGGATCCCCTTGAAGGCTGAGTTGTCTATCAGTACATCTGAGCAGGAGGCCTAGATCCTCTTCATGCATGGTCATTGTGTCCATCTCTGCAGCATTCCCCACCCTTGGGACCAGATCTGTTGGCTCTGTTGCTCTTCTTGTGGCTCCTATCCTCTCTGGGTCCATCTATTCCCCCACTCTTCCATTAAGACTCCTTGCTCTCTGCCCAAAATTTGACTGTGAGTCTCAACATCTGCTTTGATCCCCTGCTGGGTGGAGTCTTTCAAAGGACATCTGTGTTAGACTCCAGTCCTGTTCCCACTCTTCAACCACTTCTAGTCTCTATCCATTTGCCCTTCTGAATGAGAATTAAGCTGCTCAGCTATGTTCATAGCAGCTTTATTTATAATAATGAGAAACAAGAAACAACCCAGATGTCCTTCAGTCAAAGAATGGATAAATAAATTGTGGTACATCTACACAATGAAGTAGTATTCAGCTATTCAAGACAAGGAAATCGTGATATTTGCAGGCAAATGGATGAACCTAGAGAAGATCATCCTGAGTGAGGTAACCCAGACCTAGAAAGACACATATGGTATATGCTCACTTATAAGTGGACATTAGCCATATAGTACAGGATAACCATACTATAATCCACAGACCTAAAGAAGCTAAATAACAAGGAAGGAGTGCTTTCAAGGCAGAATGAAGAAATAGAAATGGGAAGGGCTGAGGTTTGAGTAGAGCCAAGTAAGTAGCAATTTACAAAAAGTAGGAATGAAAAAGGCTGGTCGTTCAGGAGGAAAATCGCCTGTTCGTGGGTGTTTCCCTTAGAACAAAGACAGGTAGACAGTGGCTCTGTCTCGGGTTCTACCTAGAGCAAGCAACTAATTCTCTTGGCAGTTTTGAACTTTCATAGGTTGAAACATAGCAGGCTGGATTAGCATCCTAAGGCTGTAGCTTTCTGCATCTTTAAAAATATATGAAAGAGCGCATGAAATAATTCGTGCTTAAACTCCTTGGTTTTCAGAAGCGAAAGCTGGTGTTTAGCTGGTAAGGCCATCTTTATTTCTCTCTCTCTCTCTCTCTCTCTCTCTCTCTCCCATAATCCCATAATGTGTACCTTCTAGTTTTTGCCAATGCCTTTACTCACTTTCAGTGCCTAATACTGGTGAACAGCTAGATCCATCTAGATCCTACATCAGGAGACTTCTCCAGACCTTCTTTTTTTTTGGAGGTGGGGGATGGGGATGTTATTGTGGCTTTTATTTTGCATCTAGAACCAGTGGGGGCCTTGCCTGTGGCCACCCTAGAGATTACACTGAATTACAAGAGCTCCAGAAACCAGCTGGGAAGAGAGGTGACAGGAACAATGATTCCGACCAAAGACATGATTACAAAGCTGGGGCTTCCAGCAGGGCTCCAGGTGTTCAGGCTTGACTTTGGAGTCTAAGGTAGCTGTGACATGGGAAGGGGAAGCGCTGGGCCTTCCTTGAGCCGCCTTGATGACATCACGGACAGGGAGGATCCTAGCACCTGGCGGCTCCAGGGATCTCCACACTTTACTTCACCAGGGGATTCCCGGAGGACCTGCCAGGAAACCTGGCCCAGCCCTTGCTCTCTTCGAAGGGTCTGATTGTACTTGGCCAGGCGCTCAGATCTGCCAGGGGCACGGGTCTTGATCTGCCCAGTGCAGAGTTCCACCAGCAGGTCAGCGATGAACGTTTTCTCAGTCTCCACAGAGGGATACACCACGAGGCCCAGACCTTCGACTGGGCCTGCTTACACACCTGTGGAGACTCAGTCACAGAGCTGACTGTGGCGGACTTCTTCCTCACAGCCTTGTCAATGCGCTTAGGGTCGGTCCCAGTGAGATCATCTGCAACCATCTGGATCCCTGCACTAGCTGTGAACTTTTGGCACACTTCCCAATCGTCCTGGTCAAAGGGTCCATGCCGATGATGACCTGCTCAGTGTAGGAGGCCTTCCCAATTGCGGTCTCCAGCAGCTCCAGCACGTCTTTGTTCTCCAGGTGCAAACTCACCCTCATCATGCACATCGGTGGCATCCTTGCCATATTTCTCCTTGATGACGTTCTTCAGGTTGTGGTAAGCCTCAGCAAAAAAAATCGCACAGCTTCCCAGAAACAGGAAGCCCCCGCAGGGAAGATCAGGAACTCTCGCGTGGCCAGTTTGCTGCCACTATGAGATCTCATTGAAAGCTGGGACCAGCAGGTAAACTTCAGGGTTCCCAGCTAAGTCAGCGATGTGAAGGGACGCTCCCTTTTCCGCAGCACCATCCTTGCAGACAGCCAGGGGACATTCCCAGGTGTCATTTACACCAAATTTACATTTATTCTCTGTGCCATCCGTCTCGATCATTAGCTCGTCGATTTTCCCTTGCTCCACAACACTCATTTTCTTGCTAAACAGAGCAGGTGCGATAGTTTTATTGCTGTGCACAACACCCTCCCCCGTGTAGCGAGTCTTAAATCATTGTCACGGAGTTCTCGGACCTCATAGATGCCAGTGGCGGCACCGCTGGGCACTGCCGCTCGGAAGAGACCTCTTGCGGTGTAGAGATCAACTTCAACAGTGGGACTCCGGCGAGAGTCAAAGATCTCTCTGGCCTGGATTTTGAGAATAGACACGGTGAGTTTCTTGCTGTTGAATGGCCGCACAGGAAAGAAAGGAGTCTCTCCAGGCTTTCTTAATCTTTCTTTACAGGGTTCTTGGCACATATCACAATTTCCATTATCCATCTGTCCCCTTTTGGTTTTTTTTTTTAATTAAAATTTTATTTATTTATATTAATTACAGTTTATTTACTTTGTATCCCAGATGTAGCCCTCTTCCTCATTCCCTCCCAATCCCACCCTTCCTCCCTCATCTCCTCCCTGACCCTCTCCAAGTCCACTGTTAGGGGAGGTCCTCCTCACTTTCCATCTGATCCTAGCTCATCAGGTCTCCCCAGGACTGGCCGCAATGTCCTCCTCTGTGGTCTAGCTAGGCTGCTCCTCCCACAGCAGCTGGGGAGGTCAAAGAGCTAACCACAGTGTTCATGCCAGAGACAGTCCCTGTTCCCCTTACTAAGGTACCCACTTGGATACTGAGCTGCCATGGGCTATGTCCCAGCAG